ATATATATACACACACACACTCACACACATAAAAAATGCATATGTATGTATGTAATGGCCAGTTTTTACTTGAAAATTTTGCTTCGTTGACAGTTTATCTGTATGAATACCATAAGCTTCACTTTATCCCATGTAGACTTTATAGGAAAATCCCTTTTCTGATTTATTCCTATTTAGTATAATGTTTTGAACAATCTTTTAGTTAGGGGTTTTGTTTTTACTATTTTTTATTTTGATGTTTTAGTATTTACCTATTCATTTCCGGATTGATCTGCCTACAAATACTTTCCCCGGCAACTATCTACTTCTTGTTGGAACTGTGTTAAGCAAAGGATGACAATAATGTCACCCAGTGGGTTATGAATTTGAGGTCTCCACAGGGCCTGCCTGAGCAACCCTCTTCTGTAAAGAGGGTTTAGGTTTTATCTCTAGGCTCTAGTATTGATGCTAAGAAAATGTTCACTAAGTTAAATAGTTAAGCTATCAACTGATGCAATTCATGATTTAAAAGTATTAGGTTGCTGCTGTACAGCTTTCTCTTTTGAGTTGAGGTTATCCAGTTCTGCCCCATAGAATCATACTCATTCCAGCTATTCTCCTTATGACTGATTATTTTTAAATAATAGGGTGGATAGTAATAATAGTTGTTGGCAGTCTCAGTGTGCCAGGCACTCTTCTAGGTACTTTACATGTATTAGCTTATTTCACCCTCACAACAACCCTATGAGGTAGGTACTGTTACTTTACCACTTTAAGAGACTGAGGTGTATAGAAGGGTTAACAACTTGGCAGAGTACACCAGAGGTGTACACTAATGTTTAGATTTTTCAGTTATTTGTAGCATCTAATTCTTCACATTCCCCAGCTTTGTTGGTTTTCTACTGCTTTAAAGTCTTACTGCTGATTATATAAATAGTATTTACCAATCATCTTTTTATTTAAAGGTGCCATACTCTTAAATAGGTGAGCCCCACTGAATTGACTTGTTTTGTTTTGTTTTGTTTTAAACCTATATCAGTATAGAGCAACTGGCTGGCTCAGTTGCCAGTCACTCTTGATCTTGGGGTCATGAGTTTGAGTCCCATGTTCGGCATAAAATTAAAACAATTTAAAAAACTTTATCAGTATAGCAATAAATTTAAAGGATATCATGGAAAAACTTTTAATAAGATGTTTCTTTTTAAATATGGTAAGGTTGTATCATCTTTGCTTACAGCCATTTAGAAATATTTTTCCTTGGGCACCTGGGTGGCTCAGTCAGTTAAGTGTCTGCTTAAGTTTCTGACTCTTGGTTTTGTCTCCGGTCATGATCTCAGGGTCCTGAGATCCAGCCCCACACCAGGCTGTGTGCTTCGTGCAGAGTCTGCTTGAGATTCTGTCCCTCTTTTCCCCTTCCCCTGCTCGAGCTCTCTCTCTAAAATAAACCTTTTTTTTTTAAAGACCATATATTTTTCCTTAAAAGATTTACATGTAAGAATTTTTTTTTCTTCACTTGCCCACAAAGGCATGGCTGCTTTGGGTGTTTTCTTCTCCTCCCTCTCCTCCTCTTTCTTCTTCTTTTTTTGGTCATGCTGTTAAAGTTATCTATGAAATTAGATAAGGTTTGGTAAACTAATAGAAATTATTCAGTTTATATAGATATCACATACTTAGTCACGAATATGACTGTCGTAAAATATTTCTAATCAATTTATAATTAGATTATTTTGGTGACTGCTTTTATTATATCTAGTTTTGTTTACCATTTATGGCCTGGCTAGAGTATGTGTATATACAATTATAGGATGTTCTCACTGTCTTAATACCAAAGAAAGTACAGGCTATCAGGTATTATACATATGAAGGAATGTTGATGCACTGTTAATGTATTGTTTTGTTATATATATTCATTACTTTTCTATATAAAATTTAAATTTTATTAAAATCAGTCCATAACAGATTATATACAAGAGTAGTTCCTCTATCACTATTTTGCAGACATTATTCTAGTAGATTTTATTTTTAAAGTTTTGTAATGTGAACATATTCATAAATCCCTATCTTTGCATAGTAGTCAGTCCTATTCAAGATGTATCTTTGGGTATGGTATTTTTATATCATTGTTTCTTTGTAGCATTCTACATTATTTTTAAACTTTTGGCTTTTTCAAAAGGTATGGTGGGAAGATGCGTAAAGAGTTACAAGTTTGAAGAAGGATGGTTAGTAAAATACCAAGTAGAGAAAGAATGTGGAAAATAGGAAATAGGCAGCTCAGGACAGGAATCTTTATGATGAGAAAGTTAGGAGAAGATAAATGTAGTTAAGAGCATCTGTGGAATAGATTTGGAAGCATTCTGTAATGCCTCTGTGCATTTGTGTATTTCTGTATCACTGTGACCTCACAGGATAAGTAATTGTTGTCTCTTTGTATTATACATATCTTAAATTGTTTTCTGTTTCCTACTAGATAGTACTTAGTGTTTGACTTTTATATATTTTTTGCTTTAATATATCCATCCAAATGACTTAGACCCTGCTGGCCTTGTGTCTCAATTTCTATTTTTCTTTCTGAGATTTTGCCTTTGCAGCATAAAGCAGAACTTCCACCCCTGCTCAGATAATGTTGTATCTTTCTATATTCTTCTTTTTCACTAACCACCTTAGTTTTGTGTATACATTTTAATACTGAAACACCTTCCTGTTCAAATGGTGAATCTGTTTTGAGGATAGGAACTTCTATAGCTAACAATTCTATTCTCATGTAAGGAAACAGTCTAGCAATATATTCCCCATCTTTAGGGCCACATCTTCCCCTATAAACAAGTACATTTTGAGAGTAATGTCAAATTTTAAGATGTATTTTTATATTAAGAATGGTCAAAGTAGTATAGTATATAGTATATATAGTATATATAGTAGTATACATTCTATGTATAATGAAATAACAGTTTTGACTTAATCTGGAAGTCATGTATCAGAAATTAAAAATGTCACCTTTGTATGGTGCTCCACTTCTCTGCTTGGATAATATCATTTACGTAGAAGTATTCCTCTAAAATAAAATGGGAGTATGTTAGGGTTCAGAGGAAACAAATCCCAAATTACAGAGACCTTACTTAGTTTACAGAATGGAGCAAGTGATAACAGAGATACTGAGAACAAAAATGCAAAAATAAAGTATTTTGGTAATTAGGACTGATGGTTCATAGTTTATCATCCTTGAGATGAGGTCATCGGAAAAAGTATTGACTAAATTGATTTTTTTTCCTTAATCATCACAAATCTATTTTTGAAAAGACACATAGTTAATAAAAAATATTATTTCCAGTTAAGACAGTAATAATATATCTGAAATCTGTCAGTTACCTGGGTTGGCCACAAAGAATACCAAATGTTTTTAGGATGAAAAATGTTAAAATTAATTAGAAGAGCAGCTCTAGTTAAATTTCTTGTGCCTCATCCTAAATGATAGTGATTGGATACCAAGGATTTGGTTATTTTTATTTGCTCTAGGGGTAGGGGTATATGGCTTTACTTTTGTTTTTGATTAGTCAAGAGATTGAAATAAAATGCCCAATAGGATTCAAAGGAAGTATACTTTATCATTCTAGCCTAGAGGTAGGGGTAGTGATATTCTTAGCATATTAATAATTGTTCAGAATTTGTCTTCTACAAATGATTAGTTTTTTAGGACACTCAGTAGTTGTCCTTGTGTAGTTATATAGGCTTGCTTCTCTTTGTTTTGTCTATATTGCTTAACTTTGGGTAATTCTATTTCATTTACTCAACAGTTTTTGTTTTTGTTTTAAATCAAGTATTTACTGTATATTTGACATTGTCTTCTGCCCAGAGGGCCCTGGAAACTATAAAGATTGGTAGTACAGTGGTCACTACTTCCTAGAATCCTTTGCTTGATTTCCCTGTTCTTCCCCAAAACATTCCCAGAACGAAATTTTTATCATTTTTGTGTGGATGTCTATTAATGACAATTAAATTTCATGAAGCCTAGATTTTGAATTTGTAGTTACTAGTGGGTTGTGTTTTTTTTTTTTTTTAATCTGAATCCAGTGAATCTGGTGCATACATCTTCTATAAATATTTGTTGTTCATGGTGTTTGAAGTTAATAATCACTGCTGAGTATAAAGTATAAAATTGTCTTTATAAAATTTTGTCACAAAATGAATATAATTTAAAATCTTCTGTAAATCCATTTTAGTGGTTGCTCTTGGCTTATAATTCTGTGCTTTTTGAATTCTGGAGTGTATTACAAGAGCTACATTAAATGTAGGCAAGAAGACAGACAAACATAAATAAGAAAGGGCAGTTCTTTGAGTACTATAGTTTTCCCTGATATTGCCAGTAAGTTTTGATAACTGGTATTAGACTGTTATATTTTCAGTCTCAAGTAGCCTGGTAGTGCTAATTTAGATGCCACGTCTAAATCAGTAAATGTAGAAAAAGATTGAATTCTGAAAAATTCCAGTTATTTAAACCCATCAATCCAGACATCTCTTTCTTGAACATTATTTATCTTAATAGAGATTGAAAATAAAGGTATTCTTAGCAGGTGATGGTTACAAAGAAATTCTGAATATAAAGGAAGGTCATTGAGACAGGTCAGCTAGAGGTGGACACAGCCTGCCTAATAATTGGATGGATGCTACCTGGCTGGAAGATGGAGCTGATTGGCGGATCAAAATCTCAAAGGGAAACCTTCAGTTTTTAGTTTGAATGTTTACTAAAATTTATATTCCACAAAGTTTTATTATATTGTATGGTGCCATTTAAATATTAAAAAGTAACATCACAATGACTATTATTTCCCTACCAAAAGATTGTTTTAAGTGATTTTTGGTTTATGAAATATATTTGAGTGGTACTTAGTGAACTTTTCTATTACTTTAAAATATGAACTTCTTAATTATAATATATTCAGAGTTAGAACACAACATCTCTTATAAATAAGTTGTTTCTACTCTGTATGTTTATTTACTGAAGCGTGTCTTTGTTATTTCTTCAGGTTTACGTGAGATTAAGACCATTCTTCAGGGAATTCCTGGAACGAATGTCTCAGATGTATGAGGTAAACATGCTTAAGCTAATTACATGAGTATTTTTATTTTATTCAATACAGTACCCATATTTAGATCATGTATAATGATTACTTCTTTTCCCCTGAATTTGTAGATCATTCTTTTTACTGCTTCTAAGAAGGTGTATGCAGACAAGTTACTGAACATACTAGACCCTAAAAAGCAACTGGTCAGGTAAATTTAATTAAGAAATAGTGGAAATGTCTGTCACACTGATCTATGAAATTACTTTGATTCTATTTAATTTTGATGGCCATTTTCAGTTGGCTGCATATATAGAGATTGGTTGTGTTGAATGGTGAAATGAATTTTTTTAAGCCCCAAACTCTTTAAGAGTTCCAAATGATATAACTCCAGACAGACGTTCTTTAAAGGATACAAAGATCAAATGTATATATTCATATTCACAGTCCATCTGTATCCTTATTTCTTTTGGGACTGGGGGGAGAGTGGGGGTATGCGGAATTTTTCACTGTGTGCATGATATTTTCACTTCCTTATGTCTCTGAGATAATGCATGTTATGTCCCCTGTTTAATGGCATAGAGAAATAAGGGTTAATTTTAACAGAAAGGATAAATTAAACTCTTTTGCTTTTTTCAAGAGCAAATTTGTCCTCCATGGAAAGAAAACATTACATGACTCTAATTGGAAATTGCAGTTGGTTTAGTCACTCAAGTTATCCTGATCTGGACTCAGTTCCTTGTGTGTGTCCTGAGCCAGCAGATGCAGTGTGTTCCTGGTTAGGTGGGAGTGCCTTGGGTAATTTTAAAACAGTTTGAAAATTAGTTCCATTGTTTGTGTCAACTGAAGTGAGATATTAAGACTATTAGCAGTCTTGCTGGATTCTTTAAGATGCCAGAGTTAATCTTTGATTTTTTTTTTTTTTTGGACCAAGAGCTGTAAGAGATGCCAGAAAAGGCTCATGAAAGCTTTAATAGCTGGGAGTTCATTTTCTTGAATACTTTCTTCCATATTTTTTAGTGGAAAATCCTAATTTATACTGTTAGTGATACCTTTGTTATTGAGTGGTTGCAGCTATGCGAAAAGACATTTTCTGATGTCCACACTTAGATTTTCTTTCTTGTAAATGGAACTGTGATTTTTTTAATCTAAAGAATCAGAATTTGTCCTTGTCACTTTCCATTTTATCTTCCATATAAGCAAGCATCAGATCAAAAATGAAAATGGTGTTTCCTATTTATGAAAGTATAATACATGCTCATTTTACCTAACTTTAACAAAAGTACACAAATGATTTTGCTTTGATGACTTCATTCATTCTGAAGATTTCTATTCAGCACCTCCAGTGTTCCATGCAACAGTGGTGAGCAATACCAGCCTTTCCCTCTTAGAGATTTCAGTTTTAACTGGGGGGCAAGTCATAGTCATGGAATTATGATGTTACAAATTAATGCCCCTCTTTTAAACTAGTTCTATAAAACTTACATATTTGGGAGTTTAAATTTGTTTTATGTAGTCATATTTGAATAATTTAGAACAGGAAGAACTTTTTGAATAGTAGGTTGAATTCATTAGAATGCTAGAGGGAATTATGTTGAAGACAAGGGAGACTCAGAAATTCAATGATGTCTGAATCTCTTGCGTCCAAATGCAAATCTGATGACTGGCAAAAGTAGTTCCTTTGTAAAACTGCACACAATACCTGCTACTGACTGACTGTCAGACTCCTGAATAACTGGAGGAGTTTTATTGTAATTTAATTGAAGTAATCATTAGTATCCATATACATAGTCATTTGTCTCCTGTCTTGGGTGAGTTTGCTGCTATTGGGGAAGAAACATTAGTAGTAACTTGCATTATGTGCTGCACTGGCTTTTCCAGTTTCCTCATATGTAATGTAAATGTTCATACAAATAAAAATGGAATCTTCTAGGCCCAACCAGGAATGAAAATTCTTTGGTCTTAACCTTTTCAAAGTAGGATGGTCTTTAAACCATACAGAGGTAGATCATGATTTAGTTAAAAGTATTCTTTATAAAAAGGGAGGAAGAGAACTATTTTTAATACGTTTTGTCTGGTTAGAAAACTGTCATCACCACTGGCACTGGTGTTTTTAAGGTTGAGTTTTGTTCTCAGAGCTATGGCAAGTTTTGTTGGTAGAAAATGCCCCTTTCTTGAAATTCCATTATTAAAAATAAAAGGTATGAGTAGTCCCTAGCTGCTGAAAATTGTTTAGTGGGATTAAGACACAAGGAAGCCAAACTTCCCAAATTATTAATGTATACATTTCAAGGTGATTTGTATTATTAGAAATATTTGGAGACTAACATTTTGAGTGCTAAATGAGATGATACAGTTTTGACAGTTTATAAGTATTATTATAAAGCCTTTCATAGCTTTTTAAAATGATAACAGCATTTTTCAGTTAAGTATCATTGGTAAAACATTAGTTTACATTTGTAATACTTAAATCTGAATTCATTTCATTCAATCCTTGTTTTTTCAAATGATCATATACACACTCAACTAAATTAAAAGAAAGATGGGTGTTTGGGAAAAGTTGAAATGATGGAATGTTTTGGCCTCCACACCTTTTCTCAAAAACTATAAGGGAAACTAAAAACATTTTTAAAAATGCCAACACAGAAACATTCCTTCTTATATTTTCTATTCTGGCATGTACAGGGATAGGGAGGCTGTGTGGTCTTCTGGTTAGAGCAAAGGACTGGGAGCCAGGAGGATCCTGGGTTCCAATGCGGGGCTAACCACTGACTTACTGTGTGACCTTGGGCAAGTCACTTGACCTCCTTGTGCCTCAGTCAACCATCTGGAAAATTGGTTAAAAAGCAGGACCTCGCTGACAACCAGATGCTGCATCTGAACTGAGCTTTCCTGGGTAAATAAATTACAAAAACAATTTACAGAGTTTTTAATCCCTCTTTATAATTTAATATAACATTTTGGGATAAGCCGAAGTTCTTAAAGGCATGGTAATATTTGGTTGTAAGGTTTCAATAATTGCTAACATTTTTAAAAAGTAAAACTGTAGCCCAAAGCTTAGGCTCACATTTATATTTGAATTTCCTTTGTGAGAGAAAATAATAAGGCTTAAACTATAAAGCCTATGGTATGTGTATGTATGTTTCAGTATATGTTGTAATTTTTAGAGTTGTTTTTTTTTTTCTTAATTTGTTTTTATTTTTATGTTTAGGCATCGGCTTTTCCGTGAACATTGTGTTTGTGTACAAGGAAACTATATAAAGGACTTAAATATCCTTGGAAGAGATCTTTCAAAGACTATAATAATTGACAACTCACCACAAGCCTTTGCATATCAGGTAGGAAGGGAGGGTTGCTAAACAAATTCATATTGGGAAAAAATATATATAGTGAGAACAAATGCTGCCAAACAGAATATGATAGGAGAACAGAATTTTGACTGGTGAAATTTCTGTGTTTAGTATTATCTTTTAGAATTAGAAATGCCAAATTGCTATGTTCCATGTGGGAAATTTTCTTTTCCTTTTAAGATTTTATTTATTTATTTGACAGAGAGAGAGAGATCACAAGTAGGCAGAGAGGCAAGCAGAAGGGTGGGTGGGGAAGCAGGCTCCCCGCTGAGCAGAAAGCTAGATGCAGGCTCCATCCCAGGACCCTGAGATCATGACCTGAGCCGAAGGCAGAGGCTTAACTTAAACTGAGCCACCCAGGTGCCCTGAAAATTTTCTTTCAATTAAGTACAACACAGATAAAAATCTGGGTAGTAGGCCTAAATAAGAAGGGACTATAAAATATATATCAGGGGCTCCTGGGTGGCTCAGTGGGTTAAGCCTCTGCCTTCAGCTCAGGTCATCATCTCGGGGTCCTGGGACCGAGCCCTGCATTGGGAATCTCTGCTCAGCAGGGAGCCTGCTTCCCTGTCCCTCTCTGCCTGCTTCTCTGCCTACTTGTGATTGCTGTCTCTCTGTCAAATAAAAAAATAAAATCTTAAAAATATATATATATATCAGTTAATAGTATTCTTAGCAGTTGTTAAATAAGTAATTGTAAACATGTTTAAGAATTAAAAATACCTCAGTCATGTTCTGATATGTTTGCTTTGACGTTCTGAAATAATTTCTTAGACTATTTTGTCAATATATGTATACGCTGTGTCAGTGTTTCTTTGAAATATAACTTGGGAGAGTGCCTAGGTGGCTTAGTTGGTTAAGCATCTGCCTTCTGGTCAGGTCATGATCTCAGGGTCTTGGGATAAAGCCCTGCGTTGCGTTCCCTGCTCTTCCTGGAGCCTGCTTCTCCCTCTCCCTCAGCCTGCTGCTCCACCTGCTTGTGTTCTCTCTGTGTCAAACAAATAAAGTCCTTAAAAAAAAAAAAGGCCTTTTAAAGAAATATAACTTGAACGAGAACTGAGGCATCCTTGCAAAATGTTTTACATTATGAATATGTTCATGTGATAGTTTGAGATTTCTTCACAATAAATCTGGGCAGAATAGGGATGGTGGAAATTGGGCTGGATGTTGATAGAACGAGTAAAAAAGTAAAAAGATGAAAAAGGAGAAAAGGGAAAAACTGCATATGGTATTGAAATATGTTCAAAATATGTCACTGCTCACATTTTGAAATGTGTTTTTTAAGAATTTTTTACTAGTTCCTGGATAAAATCATTTCATTTGTCCTTCATCTTAAACACAGTATTCTGCATAAATGTTAAAGACAACCTAGAGATTATTTACTATGAAACAAATATGGTTTGCATTCTTGTTTCTAGACTCCTCTTCAGTGAAATACCATTGTATCTGTTTGCTACATTAATGCTGTTTCAGGTTATCCTGCTATTTGTTGGAATAAAATGAATGTGATATAGTCCATGTGTAAAAGTATAGGCTTTCTGTTAGTGTTCTTTTTACATTGGCTGTACTCCTTCATTCACAGTACCTTGCACTGACTAATAGTAGCTATTTCTTGAATCAGTGAAGTAATATTTTTAGTTATGTTAATGCAAAACTTGTTTCAATGGATCTTTCTTGTTTAGTTTCATATACACTAGGAAGACATTACGTGGAAAAACCAATTGGGCTTTGATGTATTCCCTAACATCTGTCTCTTGCACTGTTGAGTTGTTGGAATATGACAAGCATAAACTTTGATGGCATTCCTTTTCAGAGGAACTTATTATATACATGTGTTTCTTAAGTAGCTGTTATTTCTCTTTCAGGCTTTTACAAAGTAGGCAAAATGTAAAAAGAAGATTTAATTATTTATTTATCGTTATAGCTATCTAATGGAATCCCTATAGAAAGCTGGTTTATGGATAAAAATGACAATGAGCTCCTAAAATTGATTCCATTTCTGGAGAAGCTTGTAGAACTGGTAAAGTATATCTTAATTTTCTTTTGTTGCCTCAACTCTATTGAAACAAACCTTTTTAACGCTTTATATTGACATTTTAAGTCAGCTTGGTATGAAATTAGGGAAAAAGTTGAAAAGGATTACAAACATTTTCTCACCGTGTAAATTATATTAAAATCATGCTCATCAATATTTAAAAATTTGTAGATTGGGTGTTTTTATTTCACTGGGCTTCTTGCAAGTCACAACTAGTATTATCAAATTGATTTCACTTTGCTTTCATAGTTCAGGTCTAGAATTCATGCTTACGCTACTGAAGCTTTATTCTGGCTTTACTTTGTTCCTAATATATAAAGTAGAGTTCAGTGGCTTAGCACTTCTACCTGTCTTTTGGCTTTGCCTTTTAGTGCATAATTGTTCTTTACAGAATTAAAACCTGAATGACAGGTTTGGTTTTTTTAGTCTAAATTTAATTCTTAAGTTAACTGCTTCTTCATAGTAGCTTTATATTGGCCAAACAAAATAATATAAGTTGTAAAATAAACTGTATATTCTCTGCAAAGGAAGAATGTTATAAGAATCATATTTTTGAAATTTACGTGGCTTTTAAAAATGTCTTTTTCTCCACACAGAATGAAGATGTTCGACCTCACATCAGAGACAGATTTCGCTTGCATGATTTGCTGCCCCCAGATTAAGTACAAAGACTTGTCAAATCACTGAAGGGGGAGAGAATGCAGGACCCTTTTGGACTAAGACAAAAACATTGCCATTACTGTTGAAATTTTGCATTTTTGTACCCCGTCTTGCTTTTCTTATCTTTGGTGCCCAATAATAATCAAGGGTTACAGAAAGAGACTTTATCTCAGATTGAATACATACAGTAGGTAGGCTAAAACAGAAGAGTCTTTAGAACTAGTGCAACTCCAGTGAAATTTTTTTATGTACAGGACATCTGCAGTTTATAAAGAATTCTGTTTCTGCCACCAGCAGTTTGACCTGTAGTCACACAGGATTTTATGATAATAACAGAGATGAAAATGGACTTTTATTTTCTCTCTGTTTGGTGCTCTAAGTGGGTTTGTAGCCACTTTTCTGTTACTTTAAGATTCTCATTTCAACAGGAATGGCCAGTAAAAGTTGTTTTATTTTTCCTGTTAAGGTTTATAACCTTTTTACATTTTTGACCTGTATTAGATTAGATTTTCATTATGCATTCCTTTTAGTTGAGGCGCTTCATAGTTTTCTGGAAATAGTCAATTTTTAGTTTTTTATTATACATTTGAATGGCCGTTTTCCTGCTTTGTCTGCCTGCATATTGTATATTTGTTTAAAAATATTCTCTACTTTTAGTCCATGTAAGTTTCATTTAGAAAGACATGCATTTATATTTTGTTTCTGTAATATTCTACTGTAGGTGAAATCTTTAAAAAAAAAAAATCAAAGGACTGGGTAGATAAGAATATATGAATGACTAATATTCAAAAGATTTAAACCATTGTGATGGCATGTGTTCCCAAATGGTAATATCTTGCAGTGGCACACAGATTGAATGGATAAAGGTATACCTCAGACTTCACTGTGCTCACCAATCTTTGAGGAGAATGAGTTTGGTCACCTGTTGGGCTTGATTTGGTTACTGCTGCCTTTGGTTTTCTCCAGGAATGAAGTATTCAGCACAGTGACTCAGTATTTTTAGTTATTTTGCATGGGCTGGTAGTACCTCTGTTATGCTCTTGGTTACAATCAATTTAAAACTCTGTGTAACAGTCTTGGTACCTTACAGTAGCTATGCATAATCCTGTGGCACAGTAAACTCCCAAGCCACCAATGCAGTTAATATGCTCTCATAGTGGTTTTCTATGCTATATGAAAATAGTCGTCAAGCCTTGGTTCTCTAATGCAGCTACCACAAGAGGTTGATATTTTTATAGTGGCGTGTAATCTCCTTTTCGGGAGGCTTTTTATGGAAGGTAGAATTTGTAAAAGTTAGTATGCTTTGCCTCTCGACTGCATTAACATGCCACAGGCTCAGACTGTTTTTGTGTAAAGGATGTCAAAGAACGGCACTTTTTCTAAAGAGAAGTTTGATATTTTGTATGCTTGTTAAGAAAGTACAGTATTGGAAATTAAAGGTGGACAACTGATAATTGAGGAGTATGTCACTTAATTTTTTATGTATATTACCTGTTTACTTGTACAACTTATTGTACAAATTACATGCAGCTTCATTTTCAAATGAATCCTTAAAATAAGGAAATCTTTTTAGGAAAACATTTAATTTTTGTATTTTTGATTTTAAAGGCATGAGTTATGTCAATTTTCAGTGTATTAATGAAGATTTTAACTTTTCATCAGGTTGAGTGTTTTCTTACTATATTATCTGTTGTGTATGTAGTTAGCATATTGTGTCACTGAACTGTTTAAAAACCCTAGCATGTAGAGCAAGCCTGTTTTGTGGAAAATCCTTATTCATTAAAAAAATAATCATGGCAGATATTCTGCAAAAAAAAAAAAAAAAAAAAAAAGCAAAGCATTTGCAATTCAGAATACTGGTTTTTTTTTTATTTGTTTGTTTGTTTTGGTTGTTTTTGTTTTAATTTAAAGAAAGGTATTTTGCTTGCAGGAAAAAATACTCCAGATTCATTTTAATGAGAATCTTTGAAATGTATTTATCTTTAGGGCATCTGGGCATCTTTATGCTGTTTGTCTTCTGTCTTTCTTGAAATAAAATGTACATACGTTACCTTTACATATGCTCTTGCTCAAAATTGTGAACCTAGTTACATTTCTCCTTGCTCCCCTTTAATGCTCAAACAGTAAAACCAAAACCTATACAAGTTCTAAGCTTTCAGCATGCATTACAATTGCTGAAAGCTTTTCTGATTAAGTAAACAGTCTCAAAGGGCTTTCCCATAACTGAAAGGGAAATGTTAGCACCAGTAATGTTATGCCTATGGGCACTTTAAAATAAACACCAACTTTTAATCATCTTTTATTAATGGTAAAGGTGTTTTCAGTCCCATGCTAGGAGAGTTCTTTAAGTCAACTGACAAAGGAATCTAGCATAACAAGATTCTGTAAAGAATTAAAGAAAAATTATATGGCCTGAGAGAATTTCTTGAGACCAATTTATTTTTCTTCATTACTTGATTTCAGTCATCTTAAATTTGTTGTTAATAAAAAATTTAAAATAATTTATGAAGAGACAGTTATCTAGTTTCCTTCCACTTTAATGTTTTACCTTCTCATTACCCCCTTTTCTTTAGCCCTTGGTAAATGTTATCTTAAACACTTCCCCTTAGTTAAGTGGAGGTGTCTCTTTTGTGAATTGAGATGTGCCCAACTGCTTCAATTCATGCAGGAAACATGAACTCTTTAAAAACTGACTGTAGGAAATGCAGGGGAGACGGATACCTGATAAGACACAGCAAAAGTGACCTATATACACATTACATATCTGAAGTACATACTACAATTGTGATATTTCCAGTGATAAATGTCTGGCTCTTAAGACATTCTTTTAAATATTTGTATTATTGTTAGGATGTTTAAATCAGTTGTGTTTTTTAATTCTGTGTAATATATGTAGCCCTAATCAGATTTATATCACAATATTTCTCTTTGAGTCTTAAAAGAGTTGATAACGATTTGAAACCATAATTGTTTTATATTAGCTAGTATGTATATTTATTTACCCAATGGCTTTATCTTATTTCCCAAAATTTGGGGGCGGGGGATTGTTGAAAGCATTGTAACTTCTATAAATGGCTATTTTCTTGTACCTGTCAGTGAAATGGATGTGTACATTGTTTTTTTACATTTCTCTGGTTTTTCTGGTTTGTTTGGTTGTTGTTATTGTTGGGTTTTTTTGTTTTGTTTTTGTTTTAGTGTTAAACATAGAATGGTTTAAAAAAAGTTATCTTTGGCCAATGACTTTTTCAGCTAGATAGTACTTTCATTCAACCTTCTAAAGAAGTTCGTTTTCATTGTTTTGTCCAGTCAACTTGCCTGAAAAACAGAGAGACTTCATCTCATCAATGAAGAAAGCATTTCATTATTCCTACAAATCTTTACAGCGAGCACAGAATTCTTCATAAGGACCAGATCTCTTCCACATCTTGTGTCAATCACATAATACTGAAATGTAAAGGACACTGAAGCCTTCATTTAATTGTACTAACATGACGGTGTTATATACCACATCCTTAGATAGTTAAGGTTTTCTGAACTGACTTCTCTTTGTCTTCCTAGGTATTTATTTGTTATCTCTTTTAATCTTGTGTATCTAAATTAACTTAGTTAATAGTTACCCACTGAATAACTATGCCAAGCAACTAGGAAAGAATGTTTATTTTATTTCCCCTTATAGGGGAAGAGTGGACTGGGAACAAAAATGTATGGGCCAAAAGGCCTTAGGTTGTCATTCATTCACTTTCTTATTCCTCTCATGAGCTATATTTGAGTATAGTATTTTTTCAGTGCTCATATGCTTGATTGTGTCATTACTTTTACTATCTTCTGAAGGTGAAAGCCTGCTAGGAACCTGTATAAAACACATTTTAAAATTTCAGATTAAGAACCACAAAACTCAGTATCTTGTATTTAAATGCCACTTAAATTATTATTGGAATCCAAGTCTCACTCACTAGGATACATTTTTATAAAATGTTTCTCTGTATCTTGAATTGAAATTACTTGCCCAGAGGCAAGAGTTCTGGGGATATAATGTGTTTTGAGAAATTTTTAAAAGGGTAAGAGAGCAGCAAGTTTACACTTAGTTACTTTTTGGTTTTATTATTAGTATTTTAAAATATATCAGTGGTTCCCAAACCTCACCATTAGAATTACTCTGAAGAGCTTAAGAAATACAGATTCCTGAGGCCTAGGCCCTACACAATGGTCTCAGTGGGTCTAGAGTGGGGCCTGAGAGGTTTTTTTTTTTTTAAAAAGCTCTCCAAGTGATTCTAATAGCCAGCTTTGGGAAGTCACTGTTTTAAATAATGTGACAGTGGTTTGAGAATAGGCAACTAAATAAAGGTTTACTGGATGTCTCTGTGGTAGTTTTTCGTTGGTTTTTTTCTTTCTTTTTTTTTTTTTTAAACTGGGATCAGATTTCACAGAACTTACTCAAGATATATGGAGGATTAATAAAGAAGATTCAGGCTACTGCTCATTATCATTCTTGTCTCATACTTTTTAAGAGTTTGCATTTCTAGGACTTGGAATAGTTGATCATATATATAGCTGGAGGACATCCCTGAATGAGACCATTATATATATTAACTGTAAAATATTTCACTATTTTTTTATTTTATAAATCTTTGTAGAAATAAGCAATGAAATACTACTTTCATCTTTTGAAATGGGATTTTTCAAGGTAGTGTCCTTTTGGCATTAAGGTAGGGGGGAGTTAATATTCTCTCTGCCTTTTTCCATGTGAATCAATATATAAGTCATGGATATTTAAAAAAAAAATCTCAGTTTAATTTCTACATATTTACTATGCAGTATAGCCGTGAACAAGTAATGTAGACTTAGTTTTCTCATCTTCAAATGCCCTGATCACCCTACCTCACAGGGTTGTTGTGGGGATAAATAAAACTTTTATGGAAACACTTTTCTTTGATGATATTTTATCAGCCATTAGAAACAATAACAGCTTATGTTTGTGTAGTGCTTTTTTTGGTTACAGTTACATGATTTTTTCACATTACTTTCCTCTCTGATATCTTCAGGACATACAGGTAAGGTACACAGAGTAGGTTACAGACACGAGGAATCAATTTCTGGAACTACTGTTTGAGGAAGTAGAATAAAATCTGAATAAAGGGGCGAATTTTGAGAAGAAGATATGATAGCAACCAGATTATGGTGAGCCTAAGATGAGGCAAAATAACATGAACCACATAGCTACAAAACAGTACTCTGGTTCCACCCCAATCTCTCTGGTGAGACTTTTTTCCATCTTTACTGAGTAAAATTGACATTGTGTAAGTTTAAGGTGTACAGTGTGATGACTTGATACATACATTGTGAAATGTTTACCACACAGTAAGGTTAGTGGACACATCCTTTATCCGATTACCATTTTTATTAGGGTGAGATGAGAACATTTAAAGTCTAGTCTGGGTGCGCCTGGGTGGCTCAGTGGTTAAAGCCTCTGCCTTCGGCTCAGGTCATGATCTCAGGGTCCTGGGATCAAGTCCCGCATTGGGCTCTCTGCTCAGCGGGGAGCCTGCCTCCTTCTCTCTCTCTCTGCCTGCCTCTCTGCCTACTTGTGATCTGTTTGTCAAATAAATAAAAAAAAATCTTAAAAAAAAATAGTCTGATAGCAACTTTCAAGTACACACTTACCACACTTTTAGCTATAGTCAATGTGGTGTAAACTAGATCCCCAAAACTAGATCCACCTACAACTGGATGTCTATCCTTTGACCAGCATCTCTTCATTTTCCTCACCCCCTGGCTGTGGTGGAATATTTAATAACTATTTTGCCTACGCTCCAATGGAGTTTAATGCACATACATGTTTGAGAATCACTGCAGTACCCCTACTATCTTTAGAAATGACTGGACTTAAGGTGAATAGTTGACTTGGGAGTTTGGTTAGTAAAAGGGTCATTCAGAGAGAGTCTGATTCCAAGTTCCCAAATGCTGGTTAACTTACTAGACAAAGTTTTCTGAGCCTTGGTTTATTTTCTGTGCAAAGGGTGCACCAAGGTCTACCTTTCAGAATTACAAAGATGAAACATGTCAAACACGTTATAAACTGTGAGGCAATATACAAATAACTACAACAGTGAAAATGCTAAAGCAGCTAGTTCTCCTGAGGATATGCAGAAGATAATATGCACAGTTTCTGGGGAGATGTTTGAAGCTGGAAAGGGCAGTGGAAAATCATGGTATTGTAATACCACACGTCCTTGTTCTTTTGAGGAAAACATGGGCAGTAGGGTACACTCAGATGAAGACAGGAAGTAATGGAGAGGTCGGTCACCTATGTTAACGTATTTGATGAAAATATGCTGAGTGTTAAGGAAAAAGTGGGTGATGAGAAAGCGGTACTGAATGGCTTGAGAGATCTGGTTCAGAAGTCGGGGTAGTGGGGTTGATACAAATGATTTGCCAAGTTAGAAGTTTCTTAATGGATTAACCAAATGAACTAGATAGAGCTTTTAGTAGCTACCACATAATGACCTTTAATGTTATGTTTGATAGATGGCAATATTTGTTGAAAGTAACTATAAGCAGCCTTCCTAATGACAGTAAAAGTCATTTTAAAACATCGTATTATGTGTTAGCCACTATTCCAGGCTCTACGAATGGCGGAAAAAAGCAAACCTGACACTGTCCTCAAGCTTACAGTCTAGTATGGAGAACTGACAATGTTGGGACAAGGGTCATAGAAGAGAAGAGTGGCTTTAAGAGTGCCAGTTACACAATCTCGTCTGGAGCCAGGCTTGGGTTGGCTGAAAAAGCATTAAGTTGAGATCTGTAGAATATTTATTAGAAAGAACGTAAAGCC